CATTCGAATCATTTATATTTGTATACCGAACCTTATGAACCAATTGTGCATGGAGCTTTTGGCAATCAACCTGTACTTTTGTATATGCCTCAAATGGTTGCAATAGAAATTATAAAGGATGTAAAGGGTTTTTTTGCTGAAATAATGGCTGGAGGTCGTGGGTTCGGACATCCAGATTATGATGGGTTAGTGTCATATTAAATAGTTTCAATTTATTCGAATTGGATTGGTTTTCTTGTGAATAGAATTTATGGCAATGAATAATTTGAACATCTGATATTTTGTAAATTGGCTTTTAATTTATAAAGCTAATATTAACGTAAAGTTAAATTTGTATTTATTATGTAACATTAAATTTTTATAATTCCGGCCAATATTTGATAATCTTGGTCGAATTTTTATGTTAAAACTTAGTTTCATGACATTTATTTAGTTTGAAAATCTTTACAATTTGGTCATGATCAATGCAGAATAAGTTTCACAACATAATCGTTATACGTATATTCTGTATTTCAGATTGAATTCAAAGATCTGTGGAAATTTTCTCATTTACTCCTAAATTTATAAGTTTATTTAAAAAATTTGATTGAAATTAAGCTTTAATTTATTCCTTTAAAGTAAGTATTTTGAAATGAATTTGATTTGATTCATTATTTACAAGTCTGAAAAATTTTTTCAATTTTAAAGTATGAGTGACAGTGACACAAACTTGAATGTGAAAAAAGATGGCTCAAAGACAAAGAGAAAAAGTAATGAAGAATACATAGAAGCTCAATTACAAGCTTATATTTCAAGACTAAAATCAGATAAGATTCCAATTAACATTGGTATCAAACAACCAAATTCAGCAGATCATGAACAATGGTCAGCTTATATTAAAGAAGTAAAAAAATTTTCAGAGGAAATGAAGCATAATGCTGAATGGACTTTTGTAGGTGTCTTAATTAGTCAAACATTAAGATTGTGCAGCCTTAGTTAGACTATTTCTTACATTCGGAAACCAATAGATTAATGAACTCTTCGTAGAGATTAAACTTTTTTTTCCTTTTGAAATTTGAATCATGTAGAAAGCGGTAGGTGATACCAGCTTTGTTTAATAAAGGATACCAAGTCTCTATTGGAATTTTTTGATCCTCTAATTTCAATAT